TCGATTCGTTTTCCACGTATGCAGCGGCTTGTAGTGCATTGCCATGCTCGCCACCCTGAGCATTCACCTCCGCCCCACGCTCGAGGAGAAGCCGCACAATCGATACGTTTTTCCTGCATGCAGCGGCTTGTAGTGCATTGCCATAACTGCCACCCGGAGCATTCACATTCACCGTATCCTCCTTTCTACCGACTAGTAATTTACAGACTATCACTAAATTTAACAAGGAGGAATAGTAGATAGCTGGTGGGTAAACGTCGGAACCCGGGGGTTCATATCGGTCAGGATCATCAGGGTCATATACATCTAACCACCCCGTTCCAAGCTCGAGAACCTTCACCGCCGCGTCGCAGAGTGGTGTGGGTGCCGTATCCTCAATAGATTTGGCATACACAAACCAATAGCGAGCGCTGTAGTAGAGAAATGACGTTGGGCCAACCCCCTCCCTGTCTGTAGTGCCTTGTGCACTACGTCGTAGTATTCGACTGAGGCACGCATGCCCCATCCGTAAATTGGCTTCATCCTCGGAAATACGATAGTAGGCGCTGGGGCCCTGAGATGCCCGGTCCGATATCAAATATTCCTTTACCGAGAAATGTGCCAGTCGTAATCGGCGCTGTTCCCGTGGGGCTGATTCATTGTCCCTGGCATCCTCGAAGGAAATCAGGCTAGGACAAATGCTGATAAGGCAACCCGTATCAAAAAGAGTCCGAGTCTCAGGATTCTCGCCATATTTTTCGACATCGTATTCGATCACGGCGGCCTCCGCAAGCTGGCCTAAGGTCAAGGGTTCTGCCGAGAATGCCAACCAATTCATCGCTCGCTGAATGTATATCCTCTGCATCTCATCGATGTCTTCCAGGATCCTCGCATAGACGGAATCCAAATCTTTTGGCAACTTCTTCAACGCGGCTCTTGCATCATCCGGTGCCAAACATGTTTCTAGAATTCGCAAAAGACAATCCACCCATCGGAACCTTCACATTCCCACCCTCGTATCAGCGTAAATTAAAATCTCAATAGTCGAGTAAAACATACATTCCTTGCGAACGAGTAACTAGTGTGTCCTCTATCTCATCCTTAATTTCTTCGGTAAACCTCTTGAAGCCACCCTTGCCAGCTAGAGATTTCTGGACATAAGTTCGGATATCCGGGTCGATAGTTTTCGATTGTAGCGAGATTGAAAATGCCGTGAGCGGTTCCAGCGATGCTGCTATATCGGCCTCGGGACGGCTGGTGACGAGCATAGAAAGTGATCCAGCCTTATGGTCAACCGTAAGCTCACTGATCCAAGATAGGAGATTATCCCGTGTGCCTTTGGGAAATTCGTCCAAGGCATCGAGAATTATAAAGGTCTTCTTAAAACCGTACATAATCTGTGACAATAGATTCTTCAGAGCGCGGGTATCCGCCGACTTTCCTATTGCCTTGGTGCTATTATAGAGATCTACAACGGCAGCTGGCAGACCTCGATCAGAAGGCCGTTTTGGAAGTTGGCCAATAAGGGATAGAAGCATGTTGTCCAATTTCTGCTTTTCGGAGTCGCTGAAGGTGAAGTAGAAATAAGCTAACCCGTAATCATCGTTCGTATCGCACAGATTTTTGACATCTTCAACGGCGGTAGCACTAAAGAGAGAGTTAGCATTCTGGAAATAATATCGCTCCTTCAGATTTCCAGTGAAGGTCGGACCTTAGGACACTCTTGCCGCATCCCGCTACGCGTTGCAAATTTTAGTGATATTCTTCAAACAAAAGATTTCACTGATCTGCTCACTTACGTATTCCATAAAGCCAGAGAACCCCCCCTCGGTCACCCTTCCAGTCCTTGTACTCATCTCCCTCGAGCAGCCAGCTCCCCGTACCAGGTTCACGAACCGCAAGCGCAGATGAATAGTTAGAGGCAGGATCAACGACATTAAGCCATTTCAGTATTTCCCAGAATTCTCTGTCTGGAATATCGGAAATACCTGACATTAGCAGAGAAAATAATTAGCAGGATTAAGGATTATATGATCACGTACCGTCCAGTTTTCGCGACATCTTGGTTATGGTTTTCCTGAACAACTAGTTAGCCTTCTCACCAAAAAAAGAAGGAAACGGAGACTTTGGATTCCCCGGGCACAGAAGAATGGATAACCTACGTTGTGACTGTAGCCAACAAGAGTTGAAGTCTCAATCTCTGCTCTCCAATCAAGCCCAGGTAACGCTCCATCTTTGGTTTGTGAATAGGCCAAAGATATTTTCTCGACGATTTCCTCCATCCCGGGACATCCAACCTTTTCTTCAGCTCCTGCAGGGCTGTCTGGTAATCTCTCAAACTATCGTTTTTTGCCCACTCAAGAAGGCCAGGGTATCGTGGGTTGTTCTCATCATCTCCGGTGGCAAGGCTTTGGATTTCCTCGAGCTGTTGGTGGATACTTTTAATCTCGTCCCCCAGTTTCTTGAAATCCTCCTGGCTCCCCTTTACTGCGCTGTAGTAGTCATAGCAAAGTTCGCAAACCTTCGCGCTGAGGTGAATGAGAGCCAAGCCGCTGGCAGCCACGGAGAAGGCCTCTGCCATTTCACTTCTCTGGGATGTTATGAGCGTAAAGTGGGGAAGTGCGAAAGTCCGGCTATGATAGATTGCTGTTTTTTGGCAGTGAAAGAGAAACAAAAGCCGGGGTTCGCTTTTGATGTGGATGGGCCGTCAACCCTTAGATTCTTTTGAGTTATGCTTTCAGCGGATTCAGGATCAGTAGGGAACAGCAACTGGCATGCTCCTAGAGGGATTCTTGGGAGAGAACAGCCTTTTAGTTCACCCTGAGCGGGGTCACCAAAATTCCCACACTTACACACAAGAACAGCACCTCAATGCCTCGCTGCTGTCGCCAAAATTGGGGGCCAACCACTCATTACTCATGTATCATGCACGAGTAGATTAGCCCCCTGCTAAAACTTTTAGTAGGCGATCGAATTTTCTTCCTTGCATGGGTGTTGCAGCAAGCGGAGGGGATATCCTTGGTGGTCTGTGTAAAAAGCCGAAAAAAATTAATTCCGACATGTACAACTCCCTCCCGGAGCAGAATTAATCCATCAAAGTTTATTTCTCTGGACAAACACGAGGGCCGCCGCATGTTTTGGCGAAGTGGAATGCTATCGAAATCAGAACCGGAACCACCATACTTGTTGGTACAGTACAAGTACTCGAGTAATAAGTATTTGAAATACGGCTTGTGCTACAAAACCACTTTTGCAGCAAGGCAGTGGTGTTTCATTTGGCGCCTTGACCAATTTCAGTTGACTGCAGCCAACTGCCATGCGTCCCGTCCGGGCCACGCCAAGGCTCTTCTGGACAGGGTAAGGGCTAGGGCGGTTGCACTGCTTGCGCCATGCTGCACACAATTAGATAGGGCAATGTCCCGGTTAAGTTAGGTCTACAAGTCGTGCCAGCATGCAGCTCCCGAGACATTTGGTACTTGTACTTGTAGCCACGGCTAGCAGCAACACGGCTTGACCTCCCGAAAGGTGTCTGCTTTACAAGATTATATAAGCGACATGGGAGGAATCTCTCAGCCCCGCTCTTCGAAAAGTGAAGATATTTCCACGATCCCCTCCCAACCCCGGGACCGGATTCCTCTGCTCGAGTCCAGGACGCGCACTTCACCTCGACAGGAACCTACCCACAGTCTAGACCATGTTTCCTTTCCATCCCAATTTGGGCTCACCATCTTCTCTCTTCCCTCTCCTGTCCTTTGTGTTACACAGTTGGGTTCCGGACAATTTTCTGCGCTTTGTCTTACCGGATATCGATTGGCCACAGACAAACCTTTTCCATGGGCCGCCCCTCTTCAATGGAAGGCTGGCCGGGTGTTAAGCGATTGGTGAACCTTGTGCGGCTCGAGCGCCCCTCACCTTCTGAGTTTTAAACTATCAGTGTACGCAATCCTACGATACTCATATAATAGAGCTGTCTCCCACGCATTCCATCCCCCAGCGAATTTTCCTTCCGTCATCCCACCCATTTTACCTCTCTCGTGGCCCGGGACCGAATTACGAAAACATCACCCCGTGCACTATGCTGACGCAGCCACCCAATCTTCCAAACGAAAAATGACACAGCCAGCGACTGTTGGGAAACGCTCTCCCTGGGTTGTTTGATCATCAATCCTTCAGGTTACTCAAATTCTTTCTTGGAGATATGGCTAGTTCTCTAACCGCGGAAATTTTATTCTTTTCAAGACTGACTTCACCGACAATGGTACTCGTAGGGAAGGGGATAACTATGGTACCCTAATCCACGTGTTCTTGATGCGCACAATCCCCTAAGTTCCCGCGTGCCAGAAAACTTTGAACTCTCTCCTTGTTGCCGATTCCGGACTCGCTATGGTAGCTGAGGGTATCGCAGGGTTTCATGCCACTTCCAGTCCCTACCTCGCTTACCACATCAGGCCACCCAAACCGCACTCGACCCCCATCTCTTCCCTTCATATCCGGATTCCCCCCCACTATTGCACTTGCTCTCTATCATTCATAATTAGTCCCGAACTCTCCTATCGTCTTCTACCACCCGCCGCTTGCCAGTGATACCGGGCTTTCTAGAATAGTGGTCGAATTCCCTCGATTGGGTTCTCTGTCGCCAGATGAAAATGTATCCGGCCTAGGCCCGTGTTGACGGAGGTCTGGGTGGTGCCCCATGTACTGCACCTTACTCTATCCAGCTAATAGGGTGTGTTGTTAGTCAACCTAGCTATCCGTTTTTGCTCCCACCACCACAGTTACCCACTGGTCTCGTCCCCCTTGTCGCATTTTCCCCTGCCACAAACAGCATGGCTTATCATCGACCGCTACCCTGACCTCTCTTAGCCCCCAGCAAAGCAGCCACCGCGGGGTTTTCAAGTGCTAACGGAATTCACCACCGTCACTTCCTATAAGACCCGCAAGATTTGTGGTCCTTTTTGTACACGCTCTAGGGCATTGCAGTATACAGTGCCAGTGGAGACCGGCTAAGGCTTACGGCCCACCTGCCCTGCTTGAGGGATAGGGAGGTATACCCTGTGCAGGATCTTTATAGAACTCTTGGCTCTTTTCATCTGTTTTGTCCCCTCCCTCCCCAGAGCTCACGCACGGTGCCTCCTTGCCGGTCATTAGGAGGCTAGATTAAGTTGTCACTGTTTCTACCACTTGACAGCAGATAGCCGTTCAGGTTCCTTGCCACACTTACAGAAGCGCCTCTTCCCTCGGGCAACCTAATTGTCTATGAAGTAGTGGAGTTCGGCAACTGCTATGGCTCTTCGTTCTTCCCCTGTGTCGTTTCTTATGGATCATTTCATGATTATCTTCATTCGTGCTTTCCCTTTTTCAAGCTTTCTAGGGATTCTCGTCTTTGTTAGACCTTGTTCTATAGTCACACGGCACTAACTATGTGCATTATTCTTGGAACTTCCGATTATTCGAGTGACTGTCCGAAAGCACTAACTAGGGCAATAATCCCACCTGCACATCACCAGAGACTACTGCCCCACTTTCCCTATTCACCTGGTGTCTGGCCCCTTTCTGCCATCACCCGTTATCGCCCCTTGCTGGCAGTGTATAGGTAGCAGGAGATGGTATAGTGTGTATCGAGAGTGTATAGGCAATGGTAGATGCTAGCGATATGATATGTATTGGCCTGAGCGAATTTTTTGAGTATTGCCGGGTAGTAGTGTTTGGTATAGTGTAGACCATTGTAGACCAGGATTCGGGTACTTGACGAGCAGGAGGCTGGAGTGAGCAGTTACATGTTGTTCGATGTCTTGTATATATCTTGCAGGCTCGCTCCTGGGAACAGTAACGAAGCTCATTTCTCCTCCACCACTCCTCCCTCCCAAATTCATTTGATAAGAGAGCCACTATTGAAAGGAGCTGGGTATGCGTCACGGTGCTAGATCTGTCAGGCTACCCACGGTGTCTAATGATCTATCGCCTGAGAAGGTGGGTACCACCTACGAAAGACTCACGGGAGTGCTGGTTCTCCCCCAAGAAGGGTAAACGGAATGCTGAATATAGGGGACTACAAGTACCGGGGAAATATCTTTTGGTCTTCCGACACTGCTATTATGTCAATTGGACATGGTGGGTTTTGAACGAGCGGTGGAACCGGTGGTCGCAACGGCGAACGAACAGGGATCTATAACCACTAGCCAATCGGAATACTAGCCGAGTGACCGGCTGTGAAACGAAACGCCAAGCTTGCACACGCAAAAGGATCGCACAAAAACTTTTCTTTCACTCTCACCCACTCCCCTAACTGTCGCATACTCTTCTAACTAGCGGCGAACATAGGAGAATATATCAACCACGGGCGACGCCCGACAAACCACAGTCTCCCCTCACCACCCCCCCCCAGGTAAGTCCTCCACTTTCCTTTCTCAAGCAAACACAAACTAACAAAGGAAAGACATAACTTGTGCGCCTGCTGTGCGATATTCCGCCGCGCTCTTCCGCCGCGCCTTTCCTGCGCTCTTCCTGCGGTCCTCCACCGCCCGCTTTCCCGCGCTCCGCCACCGTTCTCTCTGCGCTCCTGCGCTCTCCCCTTTCGCCGCGCTCTCCCCTTTCGCCGCGCTCTCCCCTTTCGCCGCGCTCTCCCCTTTCGCCGCGCTCTCCCGCTATGCTCCTCCACCACGCCATCCTCAGCGCTCCGCCATGCGCTCCCAAAGCGCTCTTTGTCGTGAGGTCTGTTGCGCCCCGCCGTGTGCTCTCTCCCGCGCCCCGGCAGCGCGCTCAACAAACAAACAAAGTCCCCCTATCCCCCATAGCCTCTCTTCTCTGCCGGTGGCTTTCCTCCTACACCTCCTGGCGGACTCTCAAAGCCGGGAGTGCTTCCCCGAAATCCAAGCGCGCTCCCGAAAATACTAACAAAGAAAACTAACTAGCGGGCAGGCAGACAAAACATCGCGCGAACAAACAAGCAAACAATGCGAGAAGGGAAGGAAGGGGGGAACTGGGGGGGGGGGGGA